TTGAGAGTCCTAGAGAGGCCGACCCCGACTGTTGATCTGACCATTCTCCAGAAGAAGATAGAGAACCTCCGTGCTGATATCACTGGACTTCTTGTGACACCAGAGACTGAGCCTGAGTCTGAGTCTGCCCGCATGGCACCGGTTGATAATACTGTGGTGACTGCCTTATTTAGCGATGACATGCTACCACCAGATTCTTCCTGTGCTACTGGGAAGCGTCCTCGCTCTGGTCGTACTTGTGCCATTGTTGAGGCTGAGAGAGCAAGGAAGAGGGAGCGCCAGTCGTATGAGGTGGCTCGGAGGGCTTCCATAGTTGATGAGGAGATGAGACAGCAGCGGGCCTGGGAGATAGGTACAGGCCAATCTAGCGGTGTGAGAACTACTGATGGTGCTGTAAGAGTTTATATGATCACTACTGAGGGTGCGGTGAGAGTTGATGAGAGAACTACTAAGGGTGCTGAGAGAGTAGATGGGAGAGATAATGATGGCGTTCCACATGTTGATCCAGCAGGCTCCGTGAAACCAAACCCACCCACTTCTTGAGTGGTCTTCGGCACATATACGCCACAAGTTTGCTTCACCCGATCCTTTGCTTTTAAATTTTTGTGCATGGGGACAATTGCACTTTATTTTGTTGGGGGTGGGGTAAATGGATTGTGAGTGATAGGGTGAAGTCTGAGTAACCCAGCTCATAATCCTCTCTTAGGGTTTCTTGCCTGTGTTCTTTCCTCAAGAGACTATTTAATTTCTGTTGAACCGACATGTTTAGGAATGTATGTGTAGGAGTAAATAGAAAAAAATGAAAGCATGATGGCATGAAAAGCATGAGAAAAATGATCCATGTCCAAAAATGATGAATTGTGCTAGATCTATAGTCTTGATGAGTTGAATGTGTTGGATCGCAATGTGACATGATAAGTACCGACTTGACCTCATGACTTAAGCTAAAACTTGAACTGGGTAATCTGATAATGAAACAGTGTGCCAAAGAGTGTGTGAGAAAAGTTGAATGTTCACACAGTATGTGCCAATCTAGAACTTGCCCCGTTGGTCCTGCTAAGATGATCTACGCTAGAAGTTGGGAAGTGATCATAGGCCCTTGTTCAAATTAGTCCACATAAGCCTAAAATGATCCAACCAAATGCAATTAATGTTCCTTTTGATCCAAATATTTGAGCCTAAAATAGACCATTTCTTTTGATTCACCTAACTCACCTTTCCTAAAATAATTGTTTTGGCCCCGGTCCCTCCTTAGACATGTGCATCTTGACTTAGGACAAAAGCCTAAGTTGAGGGTGGCTAATGCAAAAAGTTACCTCAATCTTGGCCCTGGTCAGACATCGGATATTGTGCACCTCAACTAATGTAAAATCCATAAGTTGAGGGTAGCTATGAAAGAGAAAATCGAAAGAAAAAAAGGGTATGAAAAGAGTTTTGTGCTAAAAAGAAAAAAAGAAAAGATAAAGGAGGATGTGACTTTGTGTAAAATAAGCAAAAAGATAATAAATAAAAGTGCAGAAAAATAAGGAAAAATAAAGTGAAAGAAAAAGAAGAAAGTGAAAAATAAGAACCACAAAGTCAAAAAGTCACATCCATGTTGAAAAGAGTCAAGGGAAAGAAAGTGAAAGGCAAGGATGTCAAAAATAGGTTGAGAAAAGAGGTAAAAAGCCAATGAAATGTCAAGGAGGGCAGAAAGTCACTAAAAAGTACCCAAATGTACCAGACCTGACCCTGAGCCTATGTTACAAGCTAAGAAAGTTCTATAGTGATCCTAGCAACTAGTTTGGAGAGTCTAAGCAGTGAAAATAAGGGCTAGCCTATGGTATTGAGCACTAACTGTACTTGAAGTCACTTCTGAGTGTGAGTGTTGAATGAATCCTAAAACTCGAAATTCATATCTTCTGTGTGAAAAATATTTAGTTTGAAGTGAGGGCACTAGTGACATTGTCGAAAAGTTGGTACCTTGATGATTGTGAAAAAGTGTATGTTGTGTTGTCTTTTGGTCGATCTTTGTCATATCTTGATCCGCATGAGTTAGCTTATTGAGTCTAAGAGAAAAGATTTGCATTGAGAAAATGGAATGGATTGAAATAGCCATGTGATTGCTTGAGTTTGTATGTCTGCTTCTACACAAGTGTCGTTTAGAGTCTTAGTGCGTCGCTTGAGGACAAACAACGAATTTAAGTTGAGGGTGTTTATATACCGTGAGTTTACGGTATTTTTAATACATTTCACTTAAGAGTTGTGTGTATAGGGACATTTTTTATTAGAATTAAATTTTATTATGTTATATTTGCAGGAAATAGGCTTGGACGAGGTTGAGAGAGATGACAGCTGAAATTCTGCGGAAGGAGCCACCCACGGAAGTGACCTACGGACCATAGGTCCAGTCACGGTCTGTCGTTAGGCTGACGTGGAATGATCCTCAGGGAAATCTGACCAAGTATGGAACTACGGAAGAGAGTGACGGAACGTAGATCGACCCACGGGCCGTCCTGCACAACCGTCGATTGATTTAGAGATTGAGAGTTCCAGTACCTGAGGAAAAGTTCTAAGTGTGGCGACCTACGGTCCGTACTGCACATCCGTCATTCGTATCTGGGAGTTGAAGGTTCCAGCCTCTGTGGAAAAAGTTCTAAGTATTAACCTACGGAAGGGACCTACGGACCATAGGTCGATCCACGATCCGTAAGTCAGTCTCGTCGATCGAAGCCGCGTCCAACAGTTTATTTCCTTATTTCGTTTTGTTTTTGTTTAGGACATGTTTTTCTATAAATAGGTATGTAAACCTCGTTTTTGGAGGTTAGACATTGTTGTTTACTTCTAGTTTTTGGTACTCTCTTGGGAATTAACTTGCAAACTTTAGCAATTTGATTTCCAGATTTCGGTTTATAAGATTTTTGCTTTGAATTTCAATTGGAGATTACAGGTTTCTTCTACACAATACGCAAGTTCATGAATTGTGTTCTTTCAAGCATGAGTAGATAAATCCACAACTAGGATTGTGGGAACCACGAGCGATTAACAACGTATGAATAGTAACTAAGTAATTCTTGACTAGTGTTGATGCATGCATTGGTTATTCTTTCGTTTAGAAGTATTTTTAACGAGTGCACGTGTTAGAACTCGCCTTGTTGCTACTTGCCGGACCAAGGAGGTAGTTAATAAGAAAATAATTATCAATAGAGATTTAGTGTGATACTATCTAATAGTCTAATGTCAATTGGTGCGAGAGTGAAAACTAAGTCATACATTGATGTGATGTCTAATCTGAGGTAAAGGTAAGGGTTAGTAAATTATACACACGTAGCTGAACTAAGGTGCGGGGTGAAATTCCCTATTTGGAGGACAAATCACTTAGGGATACATATCTTACCACTTTTCATGTGATACACTAGGAAATGATTACTATTATTAGGATTACCGCGTTATAAGCTTATGGGGAACACATACACCCTAGTTTCTCCCTCTCATTGATAACAACAAAGTTCCAATCTTGCTCACTTATTACTTAACAACATTCAACTATTTGTTTCACAAATCCCCTCCCCCCCCCCCTCCTTTAATTACTTGTTTTCGGAACTAGTTTGGCTAAACGGAAATAATCATGAGTTAAGTTTAAGTCTAGACCATATTCCTCGTGGAATCGACACCAACCTACAAGTTGGGTTCTTTATTTGACAACAATCGCTTATGCTTCTTTAGGGGGGTGTAATTTGAGAGTATAAGACTACCCGAAAAATATCAAAAATATTGATTCGTAAACGCCCGAAAAATATAAAAATCAAGAAAACGACATAAAAGCACCTCAAAAAATTCACGAACCGCACTAGTCACCTTAAAATATCTATACAAATAAAATATCAAAATTTCACATTTTTCCGTGACTGCCCGAAAAATATCGAAAAAATTACGTCGAATCGCACCAATCACCTTAGAATATCAATATGAATGAAATATCAAAATTTCACATTTTTCATGATTGCCCGATAATTATCAAAAATTTTAATTCGTAAACGTCTGAAAGTTATAAAAATCAAGGAAAAGACATAAAAACACCTCAAAAAAATCCCAAATCGCACCAGTCACCTTAGAATATCGATACGAATAAAATACCAAATTTCACAATTTTTGGTGACTGCCCGAAAAATATCAAAAAATTTACTTCGTAAACGTCCGTTAAGATATAAAAATCAAGAAAAAGACATAAAAACACCTCAAAAAATTCTTGAATCGCACCAGTCAAATTAGAATATCGATAAGAATAAAATATCAAAATTTTAATATCAAAAAATTTAATTCGTAAACGTCTGAAAAATATAAAAATCAAGATAAAGACATAAAAATACCTCAAAAAATTATCGAAATGCACTAGTCACATTAGATCAAAAAATTCTTGAATCGCACCAGTCAAATTAGAATATCGATAAGAATAAAATATCAAAATTTTAATATCAAAAAATTTAATTCGTAAACGTCTGAAAAATATAAAATTCAAGAAAAAGACATTAAAACAACTTAAAAGAATCCAAAATCGCACCACACTACAACAAATTATGGAGTTAGCAACAATTTTTTAGCAATAACTATATTATTGTTGGCTTATATTGATAAATCACAACAACTTGATTTAATTGTTGGTATATCTTTTAATTTTTAACCACAATATTTTTGTTGTTGCCAAATATGTTAGTATTGTTGCGATATTATATTGTTAATAATAATTAATATAATAAGTTTCAAATATTAAAATATTGCAACAACGTTTTTGCAACAATAATGATATTGTTGCCCAACTTTAATAATGGAATTTAATTAATTTGTTGCTATCTTAAAAAATATTTGACAACAATGTTTTTTATTATAGTTGCTAATATATTTAATTTGACAATAACTTAAAACATTGTGGCAAAAAATAGATTACTTTTAGTTTTCCGCCAATCCAATCGCGGTTTTTTTTTGTTTCTGCCAATTTTTTTTTGTAGAAGTTAAGAATTTTTATTTTCCTTTGCCAAAACTTGCGCCTCTTCAGTTTTGGGGAAAACTGAAACTAGGTTTCTCGTTCTTGTTTTACTAAAGAAGACGTTGTTCTTGAAGTCTATCTGGTGAGTTTTCTTTATGATTTAGTTTCTTTTCACAGAGTTTGGTGGATTCTTGCATATGATTTTCTTATGATTTAGTCTCCTAGGTTATTTTGTAAAATTTGATTTGCATTGTTAAAGTTCAATTGCTTTTGATTTAGTCTCTTTGGAGAGATTAGTGGGATGGGATTCCTAGTTGTATTTCGGTTTGCCTGGAATGGTGGTCGTACGAAATCATGATTTTGCTCTGCCGACTTTTGATAAATTCGAGAGCTACAGCTGCATCAATGGAAATTTTAATTCAAACAACATCTTTGATTTATATGTTTCTGCCATCTCTTAGTTTCAGTATATCAACAAGAGTGGGCAATGAGTTAGGTGCTAGACAACCAAACAAAGCGAAAATTGCAGCAATTGTAGGCCTTGTTGGTAGCTTCATATTGGGACTTTCTGCTCTATTTTTTGCGGTTACAGTAAGGAAAATTTGGGCAAAAATGTTTACTAATGACCAAGACATTCTGACATTGACGTCTCTAGTTTTGCCGATAATTGGGCTTTGTGAAATTGGAAACTGCCCCCAAACGACTGGGTGTGGGGTGTTGAGAGGGACTGCAAGGCCGAAAGTCGGTGCGAATATTAATTTGGGTTGTTTTTATCTAGTGGGAATGCATGTGGCTGTTGATTGATTAATGTGTGTGTCTTATTTTTTATTTTAAGTGCAAGATTTGTTTAGGTTAGTGTCTGCTGTTGCTTTTTAAACTTTTACGAAATTTAGTTTTTGACCAAAAACTAGTCTATTCAACATTTAAAAAAAGAGATAATTATCTTTGGTATCTATTGGTATAGTTTGACATCGTGATCTTCATTGTCGAGTTTCCAAACCCATTGATAGTTCAGAGTCAACGATTATGTTTATGATACATTGTGCTGCTACATAGCATCTGAAAGCTTGTTCCTTGTACTATATTGCACCTTTTCTTCTAACACCTCATTAGTTTTAAGGTATGGTCTCTCAAGACTGAATTTTCTTTTCTTCTCATAGGTGATAGCATTTGTTTTGTTGAATAATCTAAGAATTTAGATTAATTATATGAATATTCTTAGCATGGTTTATTGTTTTGCAGGGTCTCATCTTCCATCTATTGCCATAGCTAAAGCTAAAGTTGTAGGTGCTGGAGCAATACTGCGACCTGTTTCCAGTGGTAAACAGGTGTGATCACAATTTACTCTTTTATTTTAGTTCTTCCTTACATTTTGAAGTGATGTTGATGTAATACAGTTTGGTCATGTGTATTCTTGTCTGAAGATTTGGTTGACCAACTTGTTGCCATTGGTAACTATGAATTTATTATATTCTCACTTAAGATATGCCATATAACTTGCCTGCATAGCTATCTTTAGAACACTTTCATACAGGTTATTTTCTGTTATATGGTAAAGATACACGTGATATGTCCTAGTACTAGTTGCACCACTCATTTATAAGCGATCTTTTTTTTAAGTTGCTTATATTGGTATTGAAATATCACATGTAGATTTGAATTTAAATTGTTTAGCTATTCTAATCTTATCTATTTTATACTCTTTTGTATGAGAGGTTGTAGATATATGAATGATTTTTGAAGATATTCATAGATGTAGATATACAAAATAGAATTACTGGTCTTAAAAGCACTTTCTAGTTTCTATGTTGACCTTTCATAATATGAAGTTTTTCTCTAACACTTTCTTTCTTTATTTTTTTTTAATTAAAAATCATATAACTTTATATTAATTGATTTAAAAATTGTTGTAGGTAAGTACATAATGGATAAAAGTTAGGATACTTATTGGAAATAGAGCGTTACCGCAATATTTAAATGGTGTGGAGCAATTTTTGAATTTTGCATTTTCTAATCTTGAGGTTGGTGTAAGAATTCAATGTCCGTGCATAAAATGCAATAATGTTCTTTGGAAAACGCGAGATGAAGTGAGAACATATTTATGTAGGTTGGGAATGAATTAAACTTATAAAAAGTGGATTCATCATGGTGAGCTTGATCTATCTTCAGATGATGAAACAAATATTAGTGAAGATTCAAATTTAGAAAAAGATTATGCTCCTATTTTTGAAATGTTGCATGATATATATCATGGTGTTCCCAATAATAGTTGTGACTTTGATGAGACAACTGAGTCACCACACGAAGAGCCTAATGCAGAAGCTAAGAGATTCTATAAGTTAATGAAGGATGCAGAAACTCGATTGTATCCAAGTTGTGAAAAGTTCTCCAAACTCTCTTTTATAGTGCGTCTTTTTCAAATGAAGTGTATGCATGGATGGAGTAATACTTCATTTGACTCTTTGTTGAAATTACTTAGTGATGCTTTACCTAAAGAAAATGTGCTCCCAAATTCTATTTATGAAGTTCAAAAGATAATTAAAGATTTGGGTTTAGATTATATGAAGATAGATGCATGCGTTAATAATTGTATCTTATATAGAAAGGAATATGCAGATCTTGAACAATATCCTAAATGTGGTGAAAAAAGATGGACAATGAGAAAAGAAAAAGATGCCAATAGTGAGGTTGCTTTAGGTAATTTGAATAACAAAAAGAAAGGAATTTCTAGAAAGATTCTTAGATACTTTCCTATTATACCTAGATTACAACGATTGTTTATGACAAAAGGAACCGCAAAACAAATGAGGTGGCATAAGGATGAACGAGTTGATGATGGAGTGTTACGACATCCTGCTGACTCTTTAGCATGGAAAAGTTTTGATGAAAAATATCCAAATTTTGCTTCAGATCCTCGTAGTGTAAGACTTGGACTTGCTTCAGATGGTTTTAATCCTTTTGGTTTAATGAGTAATTCATATAGCATGTGGCCAGTTATCTTGATTCCATATAATCTCCCCCCATGGCTATGCATGAAACAGTCTAATCTTTTGTTGTCTTTACTTATTCCTGGATCGAAAGGTCCTGGTATGGATATTAACGTGTATCTCAAACCTTTGATTGATGATTTGAAAATCTTATGGGGGGATGGAATTGAGACTTATGATGCTTTTATGAAACAAAAATTTCAATTACATGCTTCTTTGTTGTGGACAATCAATGATTTTCCTGCTTATGGTATTTTATCTGGTTGGAGCACTAAAGGTAAATTAGCTTGTCCAGTTTGTCATGTGTATACTTGCTCTGCTTACTTGAAACATGGTCGAAAGCAATGCTAGTCATCGTAGGTTCTTGGAGATAAATCATCCTTATCGTCGAAATAAAAGTTTTTTCGATAACACAAAGGAAGAAAGAACTGCACCACATGCTTTGAGTGGTGAAGATGTGTTTGTGCAACTTAATACCTCTTCACAAAGGTCCACCGTTGACAACACAAGAAAAAGAAAACAAGATACGGAAAGATATGATAATTGGAAAAAGAAAAGTATATTCTTTGAACTTCCATATTGGAAGACTTTATTGTTGAGATATAATTTGGATGTGATGCACATTGAAAAGAATATTAGTGAAAGTGTGTTAGGTACGTTGTTGGATATTGAAGGAAAAACAAAGGACACCCTGAAATCTCGATTGGACTTACAAGAAATGAAGATAAAAAAGTCCCTCCATCCCATAAAAAGTGGGGATAAATACATACTTCCTCCAGCAAGTTATACAATGTCTAAGGCGGAAAGGATTCAATTTTGTCAGCTCATGAAAGAAGTTAAGTTTCCTGATGCTTACGCTTCTAACATTGGTCATCGTTGTATCAAGGAAGCTAAAACTTTTGGGCTTAAAAGTCATGATCATCATGTTCTTTTTCAGCGTATTGTACCACTTATCATTAAAGAAATTTTACCAAAAGATGCACATGACCCATTAATTGAATTGTCATTGTTCTTTAATGATTTGTGTTCTAAAGAGTTATATGTGGAGAAGATAGATCAGCTAGATAAAAGCATACGAGTGACATTATGTAAATTAGAACGTGTGTTCATGCCGACGTTCTTTGATGTTATGGTTCATTTGGCAATTCATTTGGCAAATGAGCCAAAGTTGGGTGGTCCTCTTCAATTTCGATGGATGTATTACATTGAAAGGTTGGTTTCTTACTTTTTAAATCTATTCTTTAATTAATTTATTAAATATTAATATTTTTCTTCATAGATTTCTGCGAACCTTGAAAGGTTATGTACGCAACAACTATCGTGTAGAAGGATCAATTGTTGAGGGTCATATTGCAGGAGAGTGCATTACATTGTTCTCTAGATATTTGAGTGATATGGAAACGAAGAAAAATCGTCCAGATAGGAATTCTAATTCTTCTAACATTGATCACAATAGCTTATCTATATTTAATTGTCATGGTAAACCACTAACAGGAGGTTTCTGGACAAATTTGAATACTTTAGAAATCAATCAGGCTCATTTTTACATTCTCCAAAATTGTGAGGAAGTCAGACCTTGGATTGAGTAAGATATGTTTCACCTTTACATCATTTTCTTACAAACACTTAACAATTGTGTTCTATTTTTTAAAAAAAAATTTCAAATCTCCACAATCTATAGGGAACATTTAGAAATTTTAACAAAGGAGAATAATAGAAATGTAGCAAAGAGACACAAGGAGGAATTTCCTTTATGGTTTGAAAAAAAGGTAAAATCTTTCATTTGATGATTTGTAAATTTATTTTTTAAAATAACATTAATATTATTTGTGATTTTGAAATTAAAATACTACAAGTGATACAATTAAAGGAAAATGGTGATAACCGAATTACTGAAGAATTACTAATTTTGGCAAGACCTCCAGATCCTCGAGGTTTTTGTTATAGCGGATATATCTTGAATGGTTCTCGATTTCGAACAATGGAATCTGAGCTAGGTTTGAAAAATCAAAATAGTGGTGTGGTTGTGAAGAGTAATGAACATACAGGAAATGTTGATTATTTTGGAAGGATAAGAAGAATTTTAGAGATCCAATATATGAACAATAAATCAGTTATGTTATTTCAATGTGATTGGTTTGAACTTCCTCCTCAAGGTCGTAGTCAAAGTAGAGGTTACAAAAAAGATGAATATGGATTTGTCTGTGTAGATATAACACGACTTCATTACACAAGTGATCCATTCATTCTAGGCTCAAAGGCTCAATCAGTGTATTATGTGAAACATGGTCAAAGTGAAAAATGGCATTCAATGATAAGGGTAAGACCACGAAATTTGTATGATCTTCCCGAACAAAAAGATGAAATGGAACAATATCAATTGATTGACTTAGTTGAAAGAGGAGAAACAAATCAAGAACTAGAGTTGGAGAATGATAACATCAGAATAGAAAGAGAAGATATTAATGGAGTGAGTGTTGAAGCACCTTCTCTCAATAACGAGGAAGAAGCGGACTTAGTAGTTATAGATGAGCCTGATCATGAAAATGTAGATAACTTCAGTGATTCTGCAATAGATGAAGATACTAGTGAATATGATGAAGTTGAGGATGATGATTGATTTTGATTTTCAACTTGTCATCAAGATAAAATTTGTTTGAATCAGTTTGTCCGTAGAAGTTTTGTTTTTCACTTACCGAAATAGTTAATTTATATTTTTTACTTTTCCCATATTTCTTTATCTTTTTGCTTAGAAACTTTATTTGTTTCTCTCAATTTTTTAACACTATTTTATTACTTCATCATTTTGGCATTGCTTTTGTTTTTTAATTGCTATCTTTTACTTTTATGATTTGTAATTTTGACTAGTATTTATTTATATAATATTATAGTATGTTACAGCTAATCATGTAGTGGGATATTACTTGGTTTGTTGTTGTTGTGGTTGCAGCCAATGATGATGAAAAATATGCATATTTCTAATGATAGTGAAACTGCCGATGTAAGCGCAATCCTGCCTCCAGGTAAGTTTATCCATTTGTTAAATTGTATCTCTTCAAAATATCTAGATCATATATGTTTTATTTACATATATTTTAATATCTCTATGTATTGTTAAAGAAAAAAAGAGAAAGGGAAGAGGAAAGACAACATGGCTTTCAACCCAAAAGAAACGTAAGGAAAATGACAATGGAAAGTTGAAGGTGATTATCCCACCATATCGAACAGTTGCAGTAGATCCTGGAGCTAAAGATTTTATTACCGAGCTCTCAGTGAATGTTCTCCATAATACTAGACATGATGTCAAGAATTGGAAGGGAGTTCCTGATCTAGCAAAGAATAGGATTGTTGCTTATATGCTGGTAATGTACTTTTATCTTTGTCTTTTTTTGGTTGAAATAGTAAATGGTTAGTAATGATATATCTGACTATCTAGTTCTCTGTCTCTTTTATCTTGTCGAAGAAGTTCAGCTATTTGGCTTTCTTTTGCATTATAGTTGTATTTCTGATTATCGTCATAGCTTCTTGACTTCTTTGTTTGTTGAATTGGTAAACGGTCAATACTTGGCCTTCTTATGCATTCTAATGTACAAACACTGATCCTTCAATGTAATTTTTCTTTTTTTTCTAGCATCTGATCATTTTCTAATTGATAACCATTAACAAGAGTTTGTGTTATTCATTTAACTTGAAATTTAAAGTTGAAGCTAGTTGTTGATGGATAGCCAATGCCTAAATCATTAGTTGTGTTTCTTATTATCGTAGCTCTCTATCGTTTTCTTTTGTTGAAATGGTAAATGGCCCACAGTAGTGTTTCTGGCTTTCTACCTCTCTGTACCTTTTTTGTTGTTTTTGTTGAAATGGTAAATGTTCAATAATGATATTTCTGGTAATGTAGTTCTATGTCTCTTTTATCTCGTTGAAGAAGTTCAACTATCTTTTCCTTCAATGTATTTTTTCTTTCTTTGTAGTATCTTGATCATTTTCTAGTTGTTTTCCCAATAAACGTGTACACCAGGCAATCCAACTTTGATAAGTTGGATTATCCCTGCATATGATAGGGTCTTACCATCGATGTGCTTATTTTAGCTCTGATTTTGTTGACCAATGGTTTGCATTGTAGAATTGTTAATCTTCTGGTAGAGGGACTGCAAGATACCTAAAAGGCAACTCTCCAAATTCATACCCTAGTATTCCCAATATCCTCTGTTGAATATGACTACTTACTCCTCCAAAATAAGCCTGACTTTTTCTTAAGTTTTCATGGAGTCCTAAAGCTACTGAAAATAACTCAAACTTGTTGAGTATTTGCACAGATGTTTCATCTCCTCTTGCCTAGAGCCCTATTTGAGATTAGGTTTGCCTGGAGCCCTGTCTGAGACCTCTCTTAACTTTGATAGTTTCTGATTAGGCACCATTAATATGAAATGTATTGCTGACAGTTCTTATAGCCAGTTAACCATCATACTATGAAATCCAATCTCCTATAACATTTGCTCAATGAAATGCCATTCAATTGAATTCAATCTCGTATAACATCTTCTTCACACTCTTGTTGGCTGAATCTTTTCCTTTGACCATTCTCCCAATTTAACGTTTTGGTTCATTTAAAGAATATCTCAATAGGGCATTATCTCATCGAAGAAAGTTTGGCTACTTGACCTCCATATTCATTGTAATCTGCATCAACTGATGTTTAATGTAGTTTTTCTTCTAGCATTTGATCATTTGTTTAATGTATTCCTCACTGATTTTGTACCTATGGACTATTTTTCTCTCGTGTTTATCTCTGAATCTCATCAAATGAAATTTGTTAGCTTCTTTATTAGTTATTCCTCAACTATGTCTAGAGAACATGCTGTTGGAAATCTTAAATTTTCCAACACAAACTGTCTTGAACAAAAATAATTTATTAGTTGATCAACTGTAAATGAACTCAGGAATCATGATAGCATGAAAAAAATCTGTAATACTAAGTTAGATATCAACAGAGGATGTTCAACTATATCTCCATATTCTGGTTCAGTAGCTACTTGTTTCTTCAAAGTTACTTCTAAGTTTTGTGAACTAATATTTTCAGTTGCTGCTGAGACCAGTAACTGCTAAAAAAGAACACTCCATGTCCAGTTCATCTGTTGCAGATTACTTAGAAAATTTGTGGGGCATTATGAAAAATTGGAAACTTGTTCCAATCTCAACCCTTCTAATCTGTGACACGATAGCACCTCCCACGACCATAGCCAAAAGAACAACACCAACTCATTTCAGACACCCATGTCCATGAGACAGCCTTGTTAACAACATTTTATAGTACTTTTCTGTATCTCTGAAGTGCTACTGGTGACCAGTTAATGATTTCTCATTCTACAAGTAAAAGTGAAACAAAATAGTCATTGACTTCTATGAGTTTGGGTGTTTGCCTCAGTTAGCATTCTCTATATGGTTACTTTACATAACATTTCTTGCTTTGTTGATGATGATTAAAATTACGATGGCCCTTCCTTGCATCTAAATAAACCTTTATTTTTTTCCTCTTTAAAGAGGCCCATGAATATGAAAGGAAAATGAGGTGACCCTCCACGAATGCGGCCAAGGCCTCGTGAACGTGGAGGTCTTAGATTGTGGCCTCCTGCATTCAGTGTTGCACCAGCAACAACCCAAAGTCAATGGTTATAATGAATTACCATACAAAACGCTAAATGCCACAAAATTATCCTAGCTGCCTCGGAAACCGAATCAAAGGTCATTCTAGATGAAACTCGGCATGCCAGAGCTAACCGCGCTAATGGAATTTCATTCCGAGTGTGTTTACTAAGAAAGTTGACCAAAGGAAAATGTAAAACTAGCAACTGTTGTGGAAAAGAGTCCTTCAAATGCACTATGTTAACTTATTTATGAAAAGATTTGAGCGAGAAATTTGATATAGAAGATGTTGAACTTTTGAGAACTACAGTTGGCTGGGTTGGGAACTAACTAAGACACATTTTATACTATTTTGATTGCAGGACACCTTTCAGCTTCTGGACATACAACACAATCGGGATACGATTCTTCAAACAGCAAAAAATTTATATCGATATCGTCGGAGTAGACATCATGATCATTTCAAGAAATTTGCTACAAAAGAGGAGAGTCTGCAAAACATACCAACAGATGTTAATGAAGTTGAATGGAAATTCTTGGTAGACTACTTCAGCTCTGATGATTTTAAGATAGTTAAAAGTGAAAAATTTAACCTTTTATATTGTTTGTTTTCTTTTTGACTTCTTGTATACTTAGATTCAAAATAAATTTCTAAACTCAAAATCAATGCAGAAAATGAGTGAAAGAAACAAAAATAACAAGGCAAAACAAGAAGTGAATCATATTTGCGGCAGAAAAAAATTTCAAGCAGTGTCTTATGAAGTGGTGAGATATATGTCTTTCTTTTGATCGATTATAGTTACAATTTCAACAATAACATAATTTCATTTGTTTTGACAGAGGGACACAACCACTGGAAAAGAGCCGAATTTTCAAAAACTTTGGGAAATAACTCACATGAAGCCAAATGGGCAATGGGTTACTAATGCTTCTGCTGAAGTGAATGTACTTTTTTTTAACCTTTATTCATAGAATGAGTTTATTCAAATAAATATGGAGAGTTAAAGCTAGTATAACCTTTTTTGTAGGATAAAGTGAAAGATGTTGTTGCTGAAAAAATTCAAGAAATTGAAGAGGTTACCGATGTGGATCCTATTATTAATGTTGCATTTGTGCAAATAATGGGAGAAAAATCAAAGTACATTCTTGGTCAATGATCTTGAATTAAGTTAGCAAGTAGAATATCTAGAAATGAAATTCAAGAACAACTTCAAGCACAACAAAGGAAACAGAAGAAGAACGTCGTAAACGAGAGAGTGTAGAAAGCAAGCTAATGGAAGTTAAGAATCAAACTTGAAGAGGAGCGAAAAAATCGAGAAGTAATGGAAGTTCGTTTAGTGCATGACCAAAAATTGTTAAAGGAGAGCATGATGGCGCTAGTATCTCATTTGCAGAATCCAAAGGTATTTATTTATAGTATACATCGCTAAATTAGTAGATGCTACATTACTACTTAAATTTTTTTCACTCTCACTATACATCTTCGCCTCGTCCTCGTTCTATTCTTCTTTTATCGACATACTAAGTTATTAATTTGTACCATATTTAACAGAATGGCCTTCTTGCTTCAATTTTCAATATCATTACAGCTTCAACTAGTTCAAAGGAGACAAGTTCTGCAAGTCTAATGAATGACAAATGGGTAAGTAACTGTCTCATATCTATTGTTTCTATTCTCAAGGGTAAAAATTTAGACTTGCATTGGCTGCTGTTAGGCATGCTTGATGTGATCCTCTGAACACAACCTCTTGGATTATCCTCCGGATTACCTTACGGGGTTCAGTTTTCATAGCCTTGAACACACTATTATTCCTTTCAATCCAAACATAGTAGACACCGGCAGCCAAGGTCATTTTATAGATGGCATCAACAACTCTACTTGTCTATCTATTCCCAACCATTGTAACAGCTTGGACCATATGGTAGCAACATATGTACATTGGAAAAATAGATGGCCTATACTCTTAGGTTGTTCAGATAGAATTTCCCTTTATTAATAGCAGTGGACCCACTTGACACATAACTTGTCTTTTTTACAGCACAAATTCCATAGCAACTTGCATATAGCTATATTGTTCCAATAGGCAACATCTAGGATGTTTAGTCCTCCTACCTCTCTTGGTAAGCAAACTCTAATTACTATTATTATTACTACATGTTGAACTAGTGTTATTGTTGAGTATTGCTCATTGATCACAAAACATATGTTGTTAGTTTGTTCGAGGATCACATTTGGTAATTAGATGAAAATAGTATATGTTGCTGAAATTTTGTTTTTGTTTACAAGGATATGTTGCTGGTAATTAGATGAAAATAGAGATTGTTCTTTTATGTTAACATTGACTTGCTATATTATTATTGGAATAGATTTTTCATCTCCTTGTGTGTTGTATCTCTATGCATATCCATCTATCATTATAATTACAACATAAAAACACAATATGTAATAAACTTATTTTAGATATATATTTATTTCAAGCTTATAATCTTTGTATTGATAAGCAGTTGCAGGAAGATTTACAGGGAAAGCAAAACCAAGAATCACATATGCAAAAAGAATTGGATAACTTGAAAGATATCTTGACTTTTGAGAAGCAAAACTTAGAAATGGCTATTTATGATTGTGATAAATTCAGTTCGTTGTGCAATGAAAAAGATGTAGAGCTTAAGGTATTTTTTAAATGTTATTAAATTTGATTTATTAAGGGGACAATCATTCATTTTATTACTCCATTCCTTATAGGCTGCCCTATCAGAGAAGCGAAGCTTAGAAATGCGGCTTCCAAAGTTGAGTTCTCAAGGTTCAAAGAAAACTATTTCGAAAGAGTTGGTTGACGCAAATAATCAGGTAAAGCTATAAATTATTATTTGGCCTTCATATATTGTCCAGATTAGTATGCACAAAACACAAACTCATGTGACTTCACTTGCAGGTTTTTGAAAAGATCCATGAAGAACTGAAAGCTCGTTCTATGTTGCGTACCGTAGAAGAAACAAAGAAGAGGCTTTTGAGTGAAAAATCATCAGTTGAGGCAAAAATTGTAGAGCTGGAAAAGAAGAAATCAAGTGAGGTACGTTGCCTAAATATCTCTTGTTCCGCATGGATCATATATTTGATATAAAGTGGAGTAATATTATAGTATTGAGCAAGATAGAGTCTAGTAGTAATTCAATTACCTCTAAATTTAATAGTAGTACTGTGGCATCTTGAAAAGTACTCCCAACATAAACTATTTAGTTGTCATAGTAGTCCCAAACAACTCGAATCCACCTATATTATTACTTTCTTTTCTTAAATGCAAATGAAATAAGGAGATTTATCAGGAGATTAAAGTGTGTTTGGGTGTATAAGTGAGTGCATTCATATGAATATCTGTCTTTTAGATTTATATTTGTGTATTTTATAACATACTTTGTCAAATTATAATTATATTTATCTTTTATTTGCAAGATGGACATGCATAATTGAATCATTGCTTCAATACAAGTACTATTGGAAGATCGGATTATTCAAAAGTTACTAGTAGGATTAGAATATAATTAATGACTTGCTTATTCTTTTTTCTTACAAGTACAAACATGCAGAAGTATTTAGTTCTTTGGACTATCAATCTTATATTGACCTTTGCAAATTTATATAATTTTTAATCTAAATATTTGTGAAAAAATTCTAAAAGAAAAGTGTATTGTGTGTGTATATAGCAGTTATTCACAAATTGTTGCTAAAAGTGTAGAAAATATTTGT